AATATTCACAGTATACTTATTGTTCCATTTTTCATATAATAGTGCATGCACTGATTTGCGAATGAATATCGACTAAAATAGATATCATATTATTGGTACGAATTGTCCCATATTTTAAGTTTGTGTTCGTGTTTTGAAATTCATCTATTCAACATTTCGCGTGAGATATAACGTTATTTTGTATACGTTGTAGATAAAGAGACCCAACGACTTTTTTTTATCTCATCGAGTAAGGAGCTTCTCAATGACTCTGGATAGCTGGAGTTTCAAATTTTATTTTTTGTAAATGTACTGAACTACATGCCCTTCAATTTCAGTTACCCTTGACTTTTGTCAATCAGGTTTTTTTTTTTTTTCTTTTTTTTTTTTCTTTTTTTGGTTTTGTTTGTTTGGTCGACTTTTTATCAGCCATCCAGTTTTAATTTTGTCCCCCATTCATTTTTTGCTCCATTTCGCTATCCTACAACCAACCCCGTTGATCCTATTTATGCTGTGGCGTGCATTTAAAAAACATGCGGCTAAACAAAATAACCAAAAACGCATCAATGCTATCATAGTATACACGCTATTTGCTACAGTTCGCAACTATAGCAGTAACCCGCATAGACATTGGTACGTTGTCTAAAATAAGCACCATATGTGTTGAAATATGACTCGCCTTTTTTTCTTTAATTTTTAGCTGAAATAAAAATAGCATTATTAACAGTTTATTTTAACAGTTATTTTAACAGTGCGAGGCATTACGGTGATAGTACCAGTTTATTACAACTACATACTCGATAATATAAACACCGTTATACATGACGTATTGTTTTAAAGCGCGGTGGTCGTCGCGCAGCGCGTGTTCGAATTTTATGTAAATAAACAATGTATTTTACATGCGTTGTATACGTCGCTGTGGGTCCCATATCGAACAGGTATAATGGTTTCCCGAAAACATCGTTACAGACTGAACAGCAGAGCCGACAGTTCAAGATTTGTCGAACACAATACTGCAAAAACAGCGTTTGCATAGAAATATGGCACGGGGTATCTTATTTCTATATTTATTATCATGGATACAACAAAATCACTAAAATGCAATAATTATTCAAGGTAAAAAAAACAGTATAGGTAAGTGATCAGTGTGTAATCTGGTGTAAAATACATTAATTATATAATTTGCTTCGTCTTTGTTGTCACGGCAACAATAAAATCGCTTGAAGCAAAGTGAATGTAGTTAACGCCTTGTTATTCACAATAGAAAAACAATGTTGCTAGCAGCATGTTCATCACAGATTTATAACAGAGGCAATATATTATTCAGCAGATTTGCATATGCTTATTCGACCACGCAATATGATACTTTAGGTCAACAATAAAGTGCTAATTTGCATAAAAACCGTCATTATGTGTCGGAATATGTTTATTTAAATGATATAGTGAAAAGATATGCATAGAAACAGTATTTCTGTTAATTAGGCGTGACTCATGTAAATAATAAAATAATTACTATTTGTTTAAATAGAAGAAGTATTGTTTTGAGTGTTTTCAACTGCAAACATGTGACTGTGCCACGTGACCTTAAATACTACCATGCTCACCATTATCACACTAGATCAAAGGATAACTCAAACTTTCTTCTGCCAATGAAAAAGACAAATTTGGGTCAGTTTTCAGTCGATTACCAGGGAACTAACATTTTGAATAGCTTACCCCCGGATATCCAATTGATTTGAAGTCGAACAAATTTAATAAAAGAAGTGAAAGACTACTTAATCCACTGTAATCATCCTTAGTTATATTCCAATATGTAGAGGTATACAAATATGTATATGTGTGTAAACAAACCATTGTAAATAGGTTTATTCTGTCTACTTGATTGCCCTTTATAATTAATGGATATTTAAAAAATATATTTTGATGGGAAACAGACTAGACTAGCTCTGCATCAGCTAATTTCTGTTTCCCAGCCATAGATGAATATTATTATTTATTAATATGTATTAGTTATTATTATTATTTATTAGTTATTATTTATTTATTTCTTTTATGTAATCTATGGCAAATAAATTATAATTATTCAATAAATTATTAATATAATTAATAACACTGATGTGCATACTTCGAGAAGTAAAACAGTAGGTTTGTTATCAAAAAGGTCCTAAACAGATACAGTTCAATCATAAACTAGATCAACACTAACACATGAATCATGTGTCTAACAAGATATAAATGAACGACGTTTTGCCGGATATATTGAATTAAACGTAGGAACAACAAGCTAGTCGTTATAGTTTAACACGATATGAGTATTTAAACTCGCTATTGGGGTGTGAACTACTGCAATATTTCATGCATATGGTGGACAGCCCAAAGTGATTGAATAATTTTACCGTTGATGCTACATTTTAATAAGAAAATAAATAAATAAATAAATAAATAAATAAATAAATAAATAAATAAATAAATAAATAAATAAATAAATAAATAAATAAATAAATAAATAAATAAATAAATAAATAAATAAATAAATAAATAAATAAATAAATAAATAAATAAATAAATAAATAAATTTTACGTAACGTATGTAACTTTTCGCGTCTTTGATCTACTATGCAGTCAAAATACAATAAATATTGTAACATGCGAGCTATTAGTTCCCTTGAAAGAAAAAGCACTCAGACAATACGCCGTCCGTCGATACTCTTGCTGTACTGTCTTGGTGCATACTTATCCTCGTAATCACATCACATCATATTATTATTATTATTATTATTATTATTATTATTATTAAATGAACAATCAAAAGTAAAAAAACACAGAAGCAAGGCGTTTCAATAACCAATACGTTTAAAAAATTGTCTTCTAAAGTATAATACCTCGTGTACTTCCTAACTAAAATTGCGTCATGCTCATATGACCTATCCTTGAGAGGCGCCTTTAAGGTAGGATTCGTGTTAATCAATTGTGCATCAACATGAACAAATGAAACTTTGCAGTAAACACTAAAAAAGATTCCAGGATTTGAAAGCGTCTCCTCCTCCGAAAAAAAAGTATTAGAATATCGACTTGATTGAGAGTTATGAATGATATTTTTTCAAACGTAATTTACGTTGTCTGTTAATTTAATTCCAATTCCTTAGCACCATCATTTTAATTTGTGTTTTTTTTTTTGGCTCTCTACCTTATTCTGCCCGAAGGCGCTGAGTATATATTTTTGGTAATGAAACACTGTTTTGCATTAAAAAATATCTAAGTTAGTACTGATAAATACACGTTTGCCCGCTTGTTGAGAAAAAATAAACGATATCCTGAGACAGGTTTTACCCTAGCGTTACAGCATAAGTAGCTTCAGGTACGTATCGGGTAAATAATATATCCAGCAATAACATATCAATAACGTATCATTATAATACCGTGCGCACGTGGCTATATTATGTGCGTCTTCTCGCAAGCTAAACATGTATTTATATTTTCTGCTTTGACTCATATTTCATCCCCATAGCACTCCATTCACGTTGATTCTCGTTAATAGACTATGTATATAGTATTGTGGTCGAATGGTTTTCTGGCTGCTATTATTATTATACACTAGTGCACAATTTGTAAACACTACATGTAACGATTGAATAATAAAGCGTATGCACTGAATCGCTAAAGCAATTATAAGTATCAATTTATCAAGGTGAACTTTTACAGTCTATTCTTTACGAGTATCGGAGAAAATTTACAACGAGCACATATTTTAATTTACTCATGTGTTGTCTCACTTGTTGTGATTAGGTAATACAGTATCCGAACAATTTATTGCTGAGATATAATTACTGATTTTCTTGTTTATGTTTAACATCACGCACAATTAATTTAATGGCGTTTTTTTTTATAAACTGATAGTCGACAGACCGTGTAGCCTATTGGCCAAAGAAAAAAGCAAAATCCTGCAAAATAATCAATGATTATTATTTTGCTCATTATAATGCAACTGTAACAGTGCAGTGACTTTAATTGAATATTTTAGGATTAATATGAACACACATAACAGGGTTCACAAAGTGTTGTGGGAGCATGACCTGGGGACACCATTCACATTTCCTTGTATAATTGCCACTTGTGACTTGTTACTGAAAACCCATATACTATATCCGATGATGTGAAAGATCATATTATAAACAGGAACTTGACATGATGGTGAATTCAATTACCGTCTTGTCGACTCAGTGGGAGAAAATGGAAATAACACTCCGTGCAGTCGACTTCAGTAAAATAAGCGGAATAGAAAGGGCAATCAACTACACCCGCCCAGGGCAAAAACCGTAAAACGCAAAGGCATTACGTTTATTTTAAGGACCTATTCAAATTAAAAACGTACATCATTTAAATGGGGATACGATTACAAGATTTGAAACATCATCCATTACAAAACATCAGCTCTAGATGGCGACGAAATGTAAAATTGTCTTTGTGAGCGATATGTTCGCATCGTGGAACGCAGTAGAAAAAAGGTATACACAGTTAACAACATAAAATATGCCCTGCCACAAATACACATGGTTTAAATCCGTATGGGATGTATACATGTGTCAAATGTATTTCACCTTAGGTAAGAGAGTTTTACACAAACAACGTTGAATACGAATATATATCGACGGATGAATGCCCAACATTTAATGAATAGTCAATTTTCTCGAGACAACAGCAAAGTCGAAATGGTTGTTGGCACACATCCCTAGATTGTGTTACCCGTGTTTCCCCTTCTGTTGCAACCGCGATATACATCGGCGGGCAAGTCAGTGCTGCAGATCTTTACGACCTGCCTTTGGGATTTGCCTTCCTCGCGGGATTGAATTGCTGGTCGTCGGAACAATGTAAAACAAAATTTATATTGCGAGTAATTTGCGTCACAAAAAAAATCCTAAAACAATGACGGTGATTTAGATGAACATTGTAAGGACACAAATAAATCGTTCGTATTAATATAAACTACACCATGTGTGTACATGTGTAATACATTTACGTACCTCGTAACTAATATTACGACCATGAAAATACTTAAATGCAATAAGCGTGCTGTATAATTGTCGTCGGACATCATTTCCCTTGCCAGTGCGTACACTTTCAAGTGTTGTGGGTCTGGATTATAACTGCTTTGTCTCTGCGAGCGAGTACAATCTCACAATAGATCGAATGGGCAGCCACGCTGTATTATAACGGCTGTGCGGGCGCCTTTCCTCTGCAGTGGGTGCCTAGAACTGTTTCACTGACAGATCTACGATTGGTTGAATAACATCTCATTTACATAATATAGCGTGCTGTCTGTCGACACATAGGTACCTGGTATCTGCAAGGACAAAAATACACAATGTTAAAGCACTAGTTTGAAAGGCATAAGAATACTCAGGTGAATAATTGGTATATAGCGTGATCTCGAGGTTAGACACTTCTGCTGTTCAAGCGAAACGAACAGTATATTTATTGAAACATGTGACGCATGTGAACGAAATATCGTTAAATGGTTCGGCGCCCTATAATGCGTAATAAGTTTGAATATATGTAAATTTTCTCCAAATCGTGAGCGGATATAGATAATATCCGTTAACCGCGATGTAGATATATGGGATCTGAACCTCCCTATCCTTGCATTCATACCACTAGCGTGCTATCAATTTCTGTTTTCACTATGGCATGTGGCGTTGGTTTTTGTGCAAACCCATTCAGCAATACAATCACATCTGCATCGAATATGGGTACATATATATCTTCCATATGTGTAGAAAATGTACACTTAACTGTACACGTGAAAGCGTATACATGAGCGCACACATCTATTAGTAAAGTTGTATTGACAATGTCACCCCACCCCCGCCGTCTAGACGCAGCATGACTACCAAGACAATATTGCCCTCACAGTTCATACACATATTTAATTTATCACGCGTGTCTATAAGCATTTACATACGTACACACCACGGATATGACATTTCAAACGAACAAGTACCTGGTATTGAATGTGATGAGTTAAATGTGTTGTTCTTTCGCATGTCTACCTACATCAAGGTTGTTGCCATATAATCCCATGCATGCGCCCACAGTACCGCCCATGTTCACAATATTAAGTACAACGCACCAACTATCACCTCACAATGATAGTTTTCAATTACATTCTCGTGCAGCGTAACACTTCCCGCATGATCGAGAAAAAATAAGTCCATTTTTACAAAATGAAAAGTGTAGATGGCGCTATTGTTCGACGATACTAAAAACTTACTCTCTTCATAGAAACATTAAACACAAGGGCGAATCTCATCATCATTATCGACTGGAAAAGCAGCGATGTTCGTGTAATATTCAAAGGACGTGGCGCTGAACCCACCACCCCCTACAGGCACGGGGATATAAAATCATTTAAATCACTATCAGTATACCATTAGCTAGGTTAAATAATTGACAAGTAGTATACGTCTATATATTTCTATATTTACTCAATTTCCATTCGTAGAGTTGAATAGGGCAGTTACATAAGTTTGAGTTTGCATTGACAGAACGTACGTTCGCTTGAGTAATTGGTGCACCCAAGGCATGTACGTATAACACATCATTAGTACCCACTACGACCTTCAGACTATTAACTCTCTTCAATCACGACTAGGAGTCTGGATATTGTTGCTGTCTGGCAACCATGCATTTTTTTTGTGGCCCAGATGCGGTGAAAGATAACTAAGTGTATAATCACCTTATGTGACGCAATATTCGCCTACGTGGTAACTGAGATAATACGGAACATGCAATCTTATCAGTATGAGTTTTTCTATAATTTGTCGGCACTCTTTGTAGCATCCCTTGACAATCAAACGATGTTAATGCCGACAGCAGCGTCGGTGGAGGTATCATGCCACCAGGCGTCTCTACTGTTAACAGCGCATATGCGCCTGAGTGCGCAACCGGATAAATGTCGAAAAAATCATTCCAACATTCCACAGAGTCATAACATCTTATTAATTGGCAGTTTTTTCACAGTTACGCTTATTTTGATGTAGATGATCACATCCCCATAACATTCATAAGTTTTTTTTTAAACTGTTTTTGTGCCAGGCGACAGTTCTGGACATTGAGTGTCACTGATGTCTCTACTGACTTTTTTTTTGCGAATGCTGGTGCTGACACTTAGTGCAGTTTTGCCATAGAAGTAATATTCATTATAACAACAAGTAATATGTTGGGACTACATGACAGGGCTGTGTGGCCATCTCTATGTCACGTTTAATGCGCTATCCCGGCGTCAACCAGGCTCAGTCGAACACAAGCACCTGCGGAGCTTAACCAAGGTTCCCCCAAAGTCGGTCAGTGGAATTGCTCTTCTATTGAGTCTGTGGCACACTCACCCAGGTTAGGGATCGATCCTTGGATGTTCAGCCTAAGGTAGGATGTGAACTTGGGTCATAAGTCTGATGCGACAGCCACTATGCTACCAATGGCCGGTCAACAAAACACCACATGTTAAATGTGAGTCCACTATGCTGACTCGCCCTATATTCTACATATTCGTAAATTAATGAATATTCATCAGCGTATTCATACCTCTGTTGTAAAACAATGCAAATTGATAAATATCCATAGAGACCAGCACAAATACTGTAAAACATATTTAAATAGCTACACGGCATTTTAGCGAATTCGACTCCATGCATATATTAACTGAATCTTAATTTAGCTAAAGTGGCAACAGTCTCATCGTGAGAATATCCTTTATTTTAAATTTGTGACATCTTGAATTAGCGAAATTAGCTATAATAACATGCTAGCTAAAAAGACATGTTTTACAGGCGTACAAACAAACTCCACGGAATATGTGAATGCCTAAAGCTGTTGAATTGTCGTTCTTGAAAATTGTACTGGTGACTTGTGACTTGCAACTCGTGACTTGCAACATTGTAGTGTATATTTCCAATGTCTGCACCATCACCTATGCAATCAATGTGCGTTTGCTAAACACAAACGAGAGTAGCACATGCGTCTGAAATATTCTGACTGCCAAAACTAATTATTACTGTAGTTGACTACCATGAACACACATTGCTCTACCTACCCGACTCAATACGAAAAAAACAAACAATGTATCATTAAATTAATTAGGCATCCATTAAAATGGTGTTTTTTTGCCGTGAAGGTGGATATGCCTAGTCTTACATGTGACGGAAACCATTATTGTACATTCTCGATACTAGATATGACGACTTTTGTTGTTTTGTTGGAAAACAGTAAAGTTTTTTTGTCGAAATTCATAGAAAAATAAATTATACTAAGTGGTGTCATTCAGCAAATTAAAACTGTTCACAATGGTAAAAAAAAGTATCTGGATATGTCGTGTATTCTGATGTTCGGCATAATTCACGTTATTGGTGTATGCTTTACTGTCATTTGCTTATAAATCTTCGTTGCTATTTTGGGCATAACAAAATACATTTACGCAAACGCAAACGACGATAAAAACTTTAATGTTGTCTGCACCGTTTCCCTCGTGAACCGGGAAGTACCGTCGATTCCCTCAAAGCAATCTCCGTATTCTAGTTCCAGGACTAGTTATTTCTGTTTTTTTTTTTTGGTTTTTTTTTTGTATTTTATAATTACCTATAAAATAAGGTTGGTAAATTATAATAGGCATAACTATTAGATGCGAGTAAATAACTCGGTGTTGTTAAAATATCGTGGTATACCCGCAACTAAGGGTGGTTACTTATTAAATAAAACTGTCGATACGATCGGCCTACTTCCCTCGTGCACGACTTGCGCTATATTGAGACTTGCCTCATATAGAATAATACGTGTTTGTAGTCTTATCAATTGTGTAAAAACCTATATCTAGGTTTATAAGCTCCAAATAAGTATTATTTCAGTTTGTTAGTCAACTGAAAGCATAATAACAAAATAACATCAAATTGTGAAAGTGAGTTAAAATAACAAAATGTCTAAAAAAAGTACATATCATAACTAACCTTTGTTCAATAACCCAACCTCTTCTTAAACCAGACAATGATGGCAGGATAAAATATTTATAAATATAAATCTTTCAATAATATTGCATAGATTTACGATGAAATCATCATATTAAGGTATAAAATACAGGGAATGTGACGGGCTCTTCAACTTTAACTCTAATATATGTATGCAACAAGCTGATAAAAGCCTGTTCCTCTCCCAGTCTCACAGAATTGTATGAAAGTAACACGTTGTCAAAAGTAACTTCAATATGTTCTCGATGATTAAGATATTCATTCCGGGAAGGTGACGAAATACACAGCAACTTAATTTAGATAGATCTGAATTTGACATGTGAATGTGCATTTTAATTGAATAGCTTTTATCAGAAATGTTTTCTTACATTTGCATCGATAAGAATAGAGACGTTATCGTTCTCAGTAATATATTGAACAATGGTCATATATGCACCTTATTGCAGCATAAGCCAGCCCGAAACAAAACTAAAGAACTTATTTATCTCTTTTTGTGTGGGTGGTGCAATTCCCGAAGATCTATTTAATCACCAAAAATGCGGGCAACATAGAGACGTAAATAGCTCAATTTACGGGGGGGGGGGGGCAATGCATATGAGCAATGAGAGTTGTCGCTTTAAGGTGTACAGGTCGGATGAGTTATTGATGGTTATTGCGAATAATCGCTCTTTTGTCTTGCTCTCCGATCCGCGACACACTGTTAGTGTTAACAGCCATTAGTTTTGATATAAAGTTTACTTTACACTTAAACGTCACTTAAACGTCGCGGGTAGTGAGATCGTGGGAGCAGTGTCCAGGTTAACCGATTTCCTGTGATAGGTTGTGCAATGCTTCAGTCTTGTGATCGTATATCTATATGTACAAGGCCGGTATATATTCGTTGCTCCAAATGTTTATCCGTAATGACAACATGGGAACGACAAGTGCAGCTTGTTAAAATCATCAAACCTGACACATAATTATTGTGTTAGCAAAAGTGGTGCTGATAATTTCTTAGCTACATACATTGGGCTCATTAATCGAGCAGCAAAATTCGAGTTAAATAAAATGTGATGGACAGCGTAGTAAACAAGATTTGAAATAAAAGTCATTTGCGGAGTTCAAACCAAATATGCACATTCATGAACGCGAAGGTTAATGTGTACTTGAGAGACACCTGGGGATGTCCTACGAAATACGATTGTAACTGCATTTTCAGATCAAATCTTCGTTGTTTACGTGCGGGTACTTGTGTCCAAATGGCAGAGCTGATAGCGTGTGAATGTCCCTGCCGCCCAGTTTTTTTTTTACTTTCTTAGTTCGCCGGAAATGAGTAATTCGAAATTATTTA